ACGCTAGTTTAATTAAAAATCGGCATACCCATTTAGGATAAGGCTCTCTAGACCTAATTGTCCAGTAGTAATTGTCGATTAACGAAATAACCTGAAAACGCTTACGAAGCGACCTTTTTATTAGCCTTCCTTTTGCGTGGGAGTAGCTCCTTAGTTAGGTGTTGTTTGGAGTTTAATAGTGTGTGTTCTGACGGTACGGTTATAGTATAGTGGTAGAAAGTACGACTGGCGACTTAAAGAGCCAATGGAACATTCCCAACTGGATGTTGACTCTCCTTTCAACTTTGATATCACGCTCATATCTCTGAGCGTTTTAAGTAAAAATAAAATTGCTTCCCCAGTCGAAAATTCTTTTGTTCAATCATATTACAAGTCACCATTTCAAATATAAACCTTACCGCCGTATCTCGACGGCTCATCCCGTAGTCAGCAAATCAAAGGGCGAGCAATTTCATTATAACGATCGTTAGTCCACAAATCTCGAACATAAACGGCACATTATGTATTAATTACAACGTTGGTCTATTGTGGGGAGCTTCCTAGACGGCAGGCGCCCCCTCCCCCCGCCCAGCGCGTCTGAAGGTCGGCGGGAGGCCGTTCACCCCCAGACGACACCCACAGCGCACCCACACAGACGCACCACGTCTACACGCCTCTGTCTTAGCACCCCTTTTCTTGTGTGTGCGTGAGGGTGATTTTTCAGGTGTAGAATAGGCGATTTGTCAGTGTTGACTTTACGATTTCAATTCAATGTAGGGCCTAAAGTCAATTGATACTTACAATTTACTTATTATTTAACATCCATTTACTTTTTTACGGATAGCAACATCTGATCAAATAAGCACTTGCTTAGTTGGTCTAGGCTAACTGTATCTGCGTATTCCACACAAAAAGAATATATTATATTATACAATAGTAGCATGTTCGCACAATAAATATGTCAATAGCTGCCTGATATTAATATTTAGCGATGTAACGTGTTCGAATTCACGAATGTTGTGTCTCAAATATTTGTGTCTGACTGCGGGAATATTGTGCGAGCTCTGCCTGTAACTACTTGTACTGAGATGGAATTCCTTAAAAAATATATATATTTCTAGGTTGGAAAAGTGATTCCTTAATTCGTTAAATAAACGTTAGAAATCTTTCAAACATCCTTGAGTGCCATCTTCCCTTAGAACCTCTGCTCACTTCCCAGGAGATCATGAAAATAGTTGCAATTACCATGCTACATAAGCAACAGTGCCCTGAAACCTCCGCTGAAACCTCCGAATTATGTATACTGGTCGACTACAGACATTTGTACATAGCCACCTACTTTATATTCCACCCGTCTATCTATATGTTTATGCAGACGTCAGAGCTTCTATATTCACGTATATATAGGTAGGTATATAGTACCAAGAGGTAGGGCACAAATCAATATAATACCGACCTTATCTACCCTGAGAACATGGCTCATTACCGTTAATATATATGTCGAACTTGCGGATACACATTGCGAACAAAGGAATTACTAGTGCCTCTTTCTCCAAAATTTAACTATGGCTATAACTATGGTCAAATACACAATAGCTAAAAGTTTATATGCTACTCGTATACCTATGAATTCGAAGTAAAACCTACCGATCTAGCTCTTAATCTAGGACGCTTATTTCTAGGAACCAGTGGGCAGTCACGAAGGACAGTAACCACTTGGAATCAAGGTCGAGATGCATAAACAATGTAACCACTAGCCACCCAAGGGGAAACACATTCCGCGATAAAAACCCCAAATAATGACATCGAGCCGCTAACTGTTCTACGCAAAGCTTTCTTATGTTACCGAAAATAAAGAAAATGATATCCCGAGATGTTCAGGTGTATAGTGGGAGGATATTACTCACTGATGTCATTGCTTAACATGACATCGCTACTCTTCACACACCTAGGATAAGCTGAATACTGGAGACAAAGATTTATATAGGTAGAAACAATTGTTTACTACCTTTTATTAAATTTGAAATTGTTGTTGTTCTATTTTCAAACTGACAACTCAATATTCCGATGTTGTCCGCTGCCTGGTCGCGATGAAATAAAGAACGCGTAGGTGAGCCGCCGCCCTAATGCCCTAGAAACTGTACTCGAATGTTTTAGGTATTGTATGAAATTCTAATGAATGTTTTAGTGAACAAGACTCACACGAACGCCCTGAAACCAGGACTGAAATAATAAGGACTACGTCTAGACTGGAATTATTAGATGTTAATTACTGGCTACAGAGCCGAGTGACGTGTCTAAGTCATTTCGTACTTAATTATTAAAATGATGAAAATCTCAAGACTTACTTTGTTTATTATATACAGACAGTTCTTTGAAACAGTCGGATCTAGAAAGACTGGAGTATGAAAAATCAAATGACGAAATAATGTAAGCTAAACTAAAGCCAGCATTTCTGAAGTTAGTACTCAGTTAAGAGAAAATTAATTAGTTTGAACGAAAACCTCGTGAATGCTGAAATAAATATGCAATTATTAATGAACATTCCTCTTCTAATCCACTTTCCCCGTTCGGAAAAATAGCGTAAAGATTGTCGAATGATAATTATGATTAATTAGCGGAGTGAGTGAGTGCGACTACATAGAACACGTAGAGATGTCACGGGCGCGGGTCTGGCAACAATACTCGTAAATGCGAACATTTCCGTCAGGCCGTACAGTGGAAACGGTTTACTTGTAAATACTTTATATAATAAAGGAATTTAATTAACTGCCAGCGCCGCCTGTCGGGATACGCGCAAACAATACCTAATCTGTTTCCGGTATAAAGAGAACTTTAAGGCAAAGGACGAGCAAATATTTGTAGGCCTTTGTTTTGTACTTTCATGTAAAATGGTTTAAGCTCCAGTAGCGAGGAGCGAACGGATGAGAAGGAATCTTATTTATTCACCTGAAGCGTTAATTGGAAAAATATGTTCAGTACTAACTCCATGCGAAGTTATGTTTTAAGGTCGCGTACACCTAAACTTCGTGTATACAAGGAACATGTAGGTAGAAACATTGTATTAAATATCTTCTAAACATTTTTTCTTGTCGGAGATTTGTTTTCACATTGTTTTTATCTTAAAATTAAAATTCTCAAACATTTTAAAATATTTCGACGACAGCGCGTATCCGCGGTCGCTTGTCGATCAGTTGACAGCATCGACACTATCCCGACGGGGCTGTCGACGCGCTGTCTAACATACTAGACGTTGACATTTGACAGTTTGACAGCTGTCAAAATGGTCGCCGCGTGCGCAACATGTGATTTTAAAATTGGGATGCTATGAAGAAACAAGGAAGTGATTTGGTGAGACTTTTATAGGCACCTCGCGATTGACTTATTAGCTATTTCCAAAGATCACATTATCATGTCAACTTGACTGACTCCATTATAATTTTTAATTCATAGAAGCATTTTCTGACTAGCTAATGTTATTGGAAGTTATCAAAGGCCAGCCACTTCCTCGTATGAATCTTTTCATAAATGTCATTGATCACCATTCTCAGAAACAATTTCCGGCTCCTGGTTTTACTTTTGCTGTTCACGAAAATTCTTAGAAGTTCCTACAGCTTAGTGAACTCTTGTGAAATCATTTCAACATTTCATCTGTAAGGATTGCGCGCCCCGTGCTCGATACATATTTTATATGTTCCACGAACATATTATACACCGAATCTATGAGTATATTACTTTTTGCATCAGACCCCATTTCTTCCCAGCTATTTTCAAACATTAAATTTTATTCAATCTAATCAATTATACTTAAATACCTGGTGCAACGGTAACGTGTTAATTATTTTCTGCATTTCCTGTCCAATCTAAATTGGTCCGCCACTTGCGCCCACGCTCCCCTTTTTTAGGTCAACGTAAACTGGATAGATCTCACTTGTATTGTTTACACTGAGAAAAACATTCGCTTTTAGATAGTAAATTGCGCTGGCGTGCACATCTTGCGTCTCTTTTCTGTGTCATAGTGAAGCATGTTTTCGTCTCCCTCGTGGAAGAAATGCAGTTTTCACTGTCGGTCACGCGATACTGCACCTATAAATTGGTTGTTCTTAGGAAATGTGAGGGATTTTTTAGCAGTACCTACCTGTACATGGTAAGAGGGGATTTTTTCCGAGTACCGTTAGACGGCCGGCTGGCGTGACTTTATTAATTGCTCCTCCAAATACCAAGCCAGTTAGTCCCTCTGTGCGCTAACGTGCTTGCGAATGATTCAATACAGTTTTACTGGAGTACATCCTAACAGATTTATAGACAAACACCAAGAAAGCGTTTTGTTAAACTGTTTTAAGAAACCAATATAATTGAGTAAAGCTGCGGTAATGAAACAATGAAACAATGAATTTATTTTTGCAAATAGGCCTTAAAACGGCACTTTTACACGTCAAATTATATGTGAAAAACTAGATGAACTAGATGATGATGATGAAGGTAAATATTTAAAAGGTTTTTCTCAAGTTTGTTCGTATTTCTGAAATGAGGAGTGAGCGGCGACCGTGTGTTGCTAGGGAGACAGGATTAACTTTGAACTCTCGACGACAGATTCCCCTCAGAATCCATAACCTTTTCACATAAAATACCTACTTTTCCCACTAAACTTCAATCTAGGAATATATCAAAAATGTTAGATATATCCGTTTGTTTTTATATAAGGCTAAGCTAACACAGAGTACTTAGTAATAGCTTTTAAAAATATGTAATAGTTACCTCGGTTTAAATACACTATGTTTACATAAACCAATATAAGATATAACGTTTATTAGTGAAATATATCTAATACTACTTTCAGGCCCCTTTTCACCGATATAATTATCTTAAATAATTTCTGGTCATGTAATATCGATATTTATAGCGGAAACTCTCCTTTTTATGTCCACTCTCTGTAATCATTTAGATAGGCAAAAGTTTTATGTAGATATTATATTATGTTTTGTGAGCTAAATTACTAAAAATTGTTTCTCTCTTTCCAGGTAAGTTCCAGTGGCTAGCATGCGCGCTGGACGTGAAATCATCATCTTCTTCTACTAACAAGGATTACACACTCTTTGCTATTTTTAATAGCCGTAATATTCCACCAGCCAGTAATTCTCACCGTTCAAACAAAAAAAAGATCAATTATTCTAAATTCAAATCGAACAGGTAAGCCTAATGAGAATTAGAAACAAATTTCGTTCGCGTTTTAGGGATTGGCCAATCACAAAATTTATCAAATTTGTACCGTATTTCTAAAGTTTCGAAAATGGAATAAGCGTTAACAGTGGGTAAATGTAACTTATCTCATAGTAAACAGAGACATTAAAATAAAATATTTCATGCCTAGATTTCTAATATAGATTGATATTTACTGCCATCGCTTCGGTAATTAAAACATAATACGCAATGATTATAAGCTATATACTCCTTGTAAATTATAATTAAACCATAAATTTAAAAGTTATCATCTAAATTCCAAGTGTATTAAATGAAATGAAATAACAGGGTCGGTAAGGTGTCGAGAATACGAGCGCGCGTAATAGAACGTCGGCGAAGCGTGGGAATGCAGTTGCAAGGACGCGATGCACCGGCGCTGGCTAAATAGAACACCGACGCGGACACTTTCAAATGCATCCGAACATACTGAGAGCATAACGCTCTTCCATGATATTAATCTCCCACTCAATATCGAACAAACTACATATATTACTTATAACAATTTGTTATTGTTTAGTGTAATGTAACTAGTCTCAGACATAACGCCAATTTACTTAGCCTTATTAAAAAAACTTATTACTTAGGCAGCACTGCATTACTTATATGAAACACGTTAATACTTAGACGTCGATATTAAATAAAGCCTAGACATATTGTGTACTCAGCCAACTAGGAAATTGCATTGCATTGGAAAGCAGTCACCGTAATGAAAATTTCAATTTCCGCGTCCTTCAAGGAAAATGTTTGAGACAGCGAAAGCTTTTAATGTTCGTGTATTTACCTGCCCTTAACTTAACTTATCACACACAAAGTATAAAAATGGCTGTATTAAAATATGATCGTTTATTCCTAAAACTGTGACAGTCTTTATTCCCGAGCAGTTTCTTTCTCATACCCCTTGACAGTGAGGTGTTCCCGTTATACCGCGATCCCCACTAGAACACATATTTTTTATTCCCACATAATTACCACTCTCCGGCGCGCCAATGGGAAAATTAATTATTTCTGACATTTACGCCAGCAATCATTGAAACGAAGGCACCTGGTCATGGGCAAACTAACTTAATAAAAAGAAAAACTTGCCACGGACCCACGATGCGTGAAACCTACGAACTTACTCAAACGAAATTTGTTAACATTCGTTACTTTAATGAAGTGATTGGCGTTATTGGCGAGGTGTTTTTGGTATTATAATGTCGACTATGAAGATTTGCGTATCGAATCAAATCCGCGACCCTCACCGGGCTTGCTCATCCGCACTGCGGTTTGGGTCGTCATCTCGTCACACAATCCCTGCGCTACCCACGCACTGCACAAAAACATGCAAACTCTTATATCTATCTAGTTTCTACACTTTTCCTAACAATTTCCCCGCTTCGGTGTAAACTATAAATATTTTAGTAAAGTAGATAGACTGTAATAAAACATATAGTATGACTCCCATTCAAACTTTCGTTTACCACACCTCACTCACACAGGAACATCTTGGTACGTCTGTGTGCAAATGCAAACTGCAGTGTGCTACGACGTGGATGCAAGTGTGCGCGGTGTATGTGTGTGTAGGAAGAAAGTGCATTCTGGTTGCACGGACGGCTAGTCGAGGGAAACTTGACATTATAGTGCGCGGTACACACGGCACACGCTGGTGTGGGTAACACAGCTTCTATCTCAAGATACGGCTATTTTTAGGAGAATTTCCTTTTCATCTCGTTTAAGATACAGTACCGGAGGAAAACATTTCTAAGATTTTGTTTTGTTTGTAGAACTTGTAAGAGGAAGCTTTTGTTTTATTTATCTACTTGGCAACATAACATTTAAAAAAAATTAATAATAAAAAATACTATTTCAATTTGCACATTACGGAGATGATAAAAAACATCAACACAAGAACTATAATATAACGTGGCTGGCAGCAGTTATCGCGGCACCGGTCCCGGCTAGTTATCTCTCGTGCGCCCGCGCCGGCTGCGCCCGCGCACTTGCACTAGTAAACTTGAAACAGTTCCAGCCTGTTATTACGTTTCCCTTTCGTATTGCGTCCGAGGGGACTGTCTACTTGCGCGTACGCAATCATGTCCATTGCATTCATTTTATTGATACGATCATTACAACTAATTGGATTTATTGTTTCGTATTGTGTTCACTTTTACAATTAAATCCGGTTTCAGAGATAACAAAGGCTAAGAACTCACGGAGCGATTTTGAACCGTGCCCGCCGCGGTAGCGGAACTGCGGTTTTATTTCCAAACTCACGAGACCGGTTATTTGCGCGGTTACACAGCCGCCGCGGTTGCGATCATCACCCGCAAACGTGGCGGGCGATGATCGTAAGATTGCAAGACGGGTGGTTAACGATCAGTTGAGGTCCAGACCGCCATGGACACACACCAGAAACGAGCCGTTGCGTTATATTTACATCACAGAAGACCCGCCGGCCCCCGCGGTCGCTCGCCAACCGATCGCAAAGCGCGCGGGTGCCACCCGCCGAGGCTGCGGGTAACCGCGGCCCGCGCGATTGTACTAGTTGCCCGCCGGTACAGCGGGAGCCGCATACAACCGCGTACACCGCGGGCGTAAAACGCGTCGTGAAATGTGCTTTAATTTTTTATATAAATATTTGAATTCTACAGAAGCTGCGGGCCCGCAACCGCAACGGACGCGGGCGAAAATCGCTCCGTGAGTTCTTAGCCAAATAGAGTAGGTTTTCCATTCGTCAAACTTAATGTTATATTCAGTTTTTTTAAAGCAACAATCCCAGAAATGTAATCACAATTTAATGTATAGTTTTAAAAGACATGTCTAGATAAACATTAGGCTGTCTAACTTGGCAGACGTATCGGACTTTGTAATCATAAGGGAGCAGGGCGTAACTGTAGTCAAATCTAAGTTGTAGGTCTCTGGCGAATGTCTGAAACCTTTCCTTGTAATCTGAAACGCAATTATACTTTCTTGTTTCGATCACAAAGGCCTGGAATACTAACAAGGAGGAGGTTACCACAAAGGGCCGCAGGTCTTAACAGTAATTAGGTGTCTAATAGTCCTAGCTCTGCTCCAGCCGAGTCTAGACGTAAAGGCCTTGAGAGAGGCCTTGTATCTAAGTCTAACATGGCTCAGTTCTCGGGATATTATTCCTAATAAAGTTTTTGAGTGTGCCCTGTGTTCCACGTGGGCGAAACCCGAAATTGGGAACACATTATATTTGTTTGAATCGGAGTAATTCACAAACCACGTGTCTTTTGGAAATTATGCGCGATCCATTGGCCCAGTCGTAGCAGTGACATTAAAATACGATAACAACACAATAAAGTTTTAAAAATATTATAACTTGTTAATAAATAGACGACATTTATTGACCTAGTCGCCCTGTAATTATGCTACTTAAACACATAACAACAAGACAATTTCGATACCAGACAAATTACTTTAAAAAGCAACTTTAAATATTTATTAATCGAATACCTTTCCATGTCCTTTAACCTACTGACAAACTGTTCCAACAGCGCATTTTTATTTTTTTAACAAAAACTCCTATCTGTTGGTCAAGCACAGAGTGATATTGGTGTTACCTAATATCACAATTGTCATAAAAACTGTGAACAAAACATTGTTAAGGACTAATGATTCTACGCAATTTGGCCCTAATATTCCCAGTAGTTGAGTAATTACTAATTCTTCAGTACAGCGTATCGTTTCAAAACTCCATTCACAAATAAAATACGATTAAACGTGTTGGGCCTTACTTATCTTAAAAACAAAACTAACAAAGGTAGCAGCAATAGCTACAAAAGATAGATCTATAACTCTAAATTATAAATACTAGACTTAAATAAGTAAGTAAGCCATTCACTGGAAAATATTTCCCAGAAACCATTACACATTTACACTGTCTAGCCATTAAATAATTATACACAGAAGTAATTTAAAACTAACATAATTACGAGTGTGTTATCAGCGACGACAGTTGATCGGAAATAACTATATCAGTTGCTAACATAACGATACTTAAATAGGTAAAAATATTGTTTTAAACGATACACGTGTAACACGGAATGCCTCAAGCATTTTTTTTTTTAATTATCTTGCCCACTGAATTTTGTGCGAACAACTATGGTGAATGTCTGTGAGTTCCAGTAAACAGAAGACACATACACGTAATCTATATTGTTACTTATATTTTGGATAGCGGAACAAACTTACGAAAGATGCCTAGCTATTAGCAAGACTAGGAGTAGAATCTTAACGCACTAAAGTCTAAGCCGAGAAAGCCCGGCCTCTTTTCTTGCAGAACAGAATTTGTCCTCACACGAATTCTAACAGTATGTAGTTAAGAATTGAAACTATACAAGTTTATTAACTCCCAGGCTAGCCATAACGTATTAAAACTTGTTAATATTTATTTCGACTACAAACTTAATCCTTTGTCTTTAGTATCTACAATTTACTTTACAGTCACATTAAGTTTATAACGTCCAGTTATATCAATTTTCTACTTTAGATCTAAGCAAACATATACATTTAATTTATTTAATGCGGACATAATACCTAACTTGCATTTATAGTCTTTGTTTTATTAGATGGTGCAGTATTTTTTCTTTATTTGTATATCGCAAGTACCAGGCGCCCATATTTCGGTGGAGATGTTAACGTTTACAACAGCCCCCGCCCGGTACTTACCTGTGCTAATTCCGGAGCGAATGGCTCCTCATTATCCTTGTACTAACATCAGCACAATTTGTAATACATTCTATAAATATACAAATTACTCATTTATAATAATAATTAGATAGAAAAACAAGACTGTACTGTCTCTGTAACTAATTCTGAACAGAATAAATGAGCATAAAAGTTACGTGTCGAACGTTTCTAAGTTCTGTGTTTTGTTTGACGTTTAACAATATTTCATCTCCTTACTAGTAGCTTGTAAAAGCTAAGAAAATTTAAAACGAGTCATATTATACAGAGCTTTCAATAATGTACTTCGGCTCGGAGCAGGAAAGAGACGGGGCGGTTTTAACCAGCAAATATATCTAAGCTTTCCTCTCGCTCTCCGTCATTTAATAATTTTCCCCTAAACAATAAAAAAGACAGACATAGCCATCGATCTTTTAGCGAACTCGCTATCTATTTCACAACCGACTCTAGCTGTCATAAATCCAACAATGCCAGTATCGACACTAGACAGTGCAGTATCATGTCGTGATTACCAAGCTATACTAATTACCGTGGCGCGGCTCGCTTTTCCCCAGTTTTTCGCACGCTCGCGTTTTTCACCGCAGAACAATGTCGTCATTCAGTTTCCACTTTCGTTTTCACTGATGGACGCTGATCCGATGCGCAGGCGCAAAAAAACCGCCACTGTTACACGATAAATACTGTACTGGTGACATA